AAAACCCATTATAAACGAGGCATTTGTTGCATCCAGTGGGGACATAATTACGGATTATAATAACTTATACTGCGTAAAAATAAAACCATGTCTGCATTTGTGATCAGAGAAATGACAAACAACAAGCACTACTCTACACTGCTCAAAACTCGCGTTTGAATGATCAGTGGCAAATCCTTTAAATATGAAAACGTACTTACTGTCTGTAAGTCAGAACAGCTGGCATTGTAGTCTACTCTACCAGGATCAGGAAACAGTTCTCCATAAAATGCGCTGGACACATCTGACTATTTGGGTTAAACTGTTCTGGAACAGTGTTGTAAATACAACTTAACCACTGATTTCTAGTCGTGTCATCTTTTGGAAGGCCAAACAAAGTAGTTTCGCTTTCACAATGAAACACACAGCATCACACATGGCGGGCTTGAGTGAGCAGTGGCCGGCGGGCTAGAGTGAGGAATGGCCGGCAGGCTTGCGGCAACCGCATGTGACGACCCCGGGCTGGACTCCGCTTCGTCCACGGTGAAAGCCGATCCGGCGATCCACAGCGTGAAGTTGATGAATTTCCTCAGCGACCAGCAAGGATCAGCTCTAGGCATGACATAGCGGATATCGTCCTCTTTTGGAAGACCAAACAAAGTATTTTCGCTTTCACAACGAAACACACAGCGCCTTCACGACATGGCGGCGGTGGCAACAACAATACTACAGCGAGAATAGAAATCTTCCCACATCGTGACGTAGACATGTGGGGGTGAGTTAGAATGAGCCGTTTTAGGGGCTGTTCATATATTGCGTGTTTTGCGTGCTCAAGTTCGTTATTTCAAATGTACACGCACGGCAGGCACGGTCATAATGGAAGCGACACGGTCACGACGCGCTCTTTTTTTCCAGGCGCATCCGCGCCACATCGAGATAAAAACATTTAAACTTTTCAGAATGCTGCAAGCGCACCGCGGGTCATGTGACAAGAACCAGCCAATCAGCTTCATCCTTTCCCGTAACAACATTGAAAGCTTGGCCAAGATGAAGGAACAGCTGATCATAGCTGTACAGTGATAGCCATTTTTTTATAAATTTAGTAGCAGAGCTACTGCAAGCGATTTTTAGTGCTGCAAATCTATTTATCCTTTGCTGAAACTTCCGTGTCTTCATGGAGAGCGCAGGTCATGGTTGCTTAGCAACGGCAGATGCCTCCGGAGTGCAAGCGCCCGAACGCTTTGGAAAAAAGCAGAAAGTGGCATGCCTAAAATTGTATGGAAAACGCTAGGTGCGCCGCTTTCTGCTTTTTTCCAAACATGTGAATATGTGAATGGGCCCTAGGCATGGTTGACTCTTAACTTTTATAAAGAATATCTCTTTGGATTTGAGACTTTAGTCTTTGCAACTTTACAGATCTTCTTTATGCACCAAGAGCTTGTAACACTCCAAAGAGAAAGGAAAAATTGAAATCGCATCATATGACCCCTTTAAAATGCAATGACACTTACATCGTCATCGCATCTCGTGCGCCACTGATAAGGCTGCCTCCTTAACACACACCTAAAATTCAAATGCAACGTTTTTGCATTTGAATGTGGATTTTTATTTTAAATTCGACGAATATTTGAAATTCTTTTTTTTTTTTTTACAGCCCTACAAAGCGTGTTCAATAAAGGCATAAAACAATTGAGCATTATTTGTTTAAATAGACAGATTATGCTGTTTATTGATACAAACATAATTATGAAGAAATGCAATCAAAAGGACTCACATGCATGAAATGTTGGATAGACATTACATTATCTGGAAAAGTCCTGCATCTACTTGTATTATGTCCTGCTCTGCTTCTTCTAATGTGTTCCTGGTGGCTGATTGTTCAGAGGCAACAGTCACAGGTTAATGTCACAGTCTGTCACATCTACAGCTATGTTGACCATGCATTAACTTTTACTGCTTATAAATCATGTTACAAAGAGATGTGAGGAATTAAAAGCAGGTATTTTCAGCAGAGAGTGTATAGACTTTTATTTTTTTATATATATATATATATGAAACTATGGTATAGTACTTCCCCCTATAGGTCCCCTAAAAATCAAGTAATAATGAAGTGTAAAATGATGCTCAAGTTTATAATGCAGTGTCTTACATCTTTTAGTTCTCTACAAACTTCTCATTTTAACTCGTTGCAGCTGACTTTTTTTCAGTTTGCACCATTTTTTTGGGTCAATTCCCAGTTAAGGCAATAGTTTGAACAAGAGGTTCACAAAATAGCACCATGTGTGCCAGGAAAAAAAATATTTAAAAAATATTACTCTCTCTCTCTCTCTTTAAATGTTTTATAATATTTCAGAGCTAATATGACACTGCAAGATCGTAGTACACCGCTGTACTGAAATATCAATACTTAATACATCTTGTCTTGTCCCTTAGAGTCTCAAAAATCTCCACATCTCATCTGGACTAATAAATGCTGTTTGGTTGTTTTTCTTCATGCTAATTTAATTGCTTAATTCTTAAAATTAAGACCCCTGACCCCTATTGTCTTTTGTCTTTGCTGCTTCTTTATTGAACACTTATTGTTCACAGTCTATTCTTTATTGTTTACAGAGTGTATTGATTACTGTTTGTTGTAATGCCTGTACGCTGCACTGTAGACCCAGTGAAACACCATTTCATATATGACTATGTACAATGACAATACAACAGACTTGATTTTAGGCCTACCTGCTAAATAAATAAATTGCAAACTAATAAAAAATGTCTATTTACACTGCATAAAGACTATAAATAGGTGACACTCAAGTGAACTGTGGCAGTTGTACTGTTTGTGAGCATCATGGGCTGAATAGCTGAAGAATACATTTCAAGACTTAAAACAGAGATCCTGAGCACAGACTGAATCTAGTCCTATACTATTAACTCAGACTAAAAGCAATGCTGACTCAATACTGCAGTATCAATATTCACACTCTCACTTACTGTAGTGCTGAATGTAATATTGGTCCAGGAAAGCATCCTTAGCATTATAGGGTTTAATTTTACTGGTAAGGTTATATATGGAGAATGTGCATACATGTTCACCAACTGTGCACTCACTTCATTATGCTGTGCATGTTGCAAGCCAAATAATTCATGCTAGTATGCATGTCAAAGTATTGCTTTACCTGTCACGGCTGAGCTGTTGTTATTGTATATATATATATATATATATATATATATATATAATATACATACATGCTATAATATATATGCTAAATAAATATTATTTATTTATTTAGCAAGCATATTTAATTCATTTTTCTCCCAATTTAAACATATTCCCTTTAATGCCTTGCTTGTTGATTTGGCTTTATAGCTTTTCTTTGTCATTATTTTATAACTGAGCTGGTATGATTTTTTGTTAATTTTTATGTAAATTGTTCATCAAGTTCAGAAGACTTGTATGAGGAGAAACGTATCTGGCATGCTTTTCACACAACAGTGGCATGTACACCAATTAAATTGAACATCTATACTGCTGTCATCTAATCATTTCACTGCTCACTGGATATAAGCTATGATTTCTCTAAGGAGAGATGACTGGAATTAAAAGAGAAAAAAAAATCTGCTGCATGGAGAGGTAGCATGCTCAGGAAAAACAAAGGCTGATAATTTTTTGATTGACTCTCTGTATTTACAGAAAAATGCTGCTGACAGCTGAAGCAATTATGAGAGCTTGAGGGATAGTCCACGGGAACAGACTGACAAGTGACAGAATGATGTTTTCTCATCCCTGGCATTGAACAGTTTCCTTTTATAATTCAAAGATAATGTATCTGTCGTTTCCTCTTTTAGAACACAGCTTTCACCAATTGTCTGTTTGAAGTTTTAAAACCTTCAGTCATGTGTGATAACTATATGCATTCTCAGTGTATTTATTCTTAAATAAGGTCTGTAAGCTGATCATCTGATCACAAGCTAAAGTCCCATTGGCAAGAAAAAAAAACAATGTATTAACAATGTCGTAAAAGTAGCAAGGCGCCACGTTTTATTGTGAGTCCTTACAGAAAACAGTAACAATGTCATGCAACCAACACCAAAAACTACAGAAACATTCTGAGGAGAAAAAGCAGTAAATATAGCTCAGACCCCTGCTGAGTATGAGACAATACATCAGGCCAGAGGCGTCATGCCCATTCAAAGTGAGGGGGCACGTGCACCCTCAGATTTTTGAGCCAAGTGGATTTTGAATGCAGCTTCCAAAGACAAAAAATAGCCGAAAAATATTTTCTATATTTGATACAATCACACCAGCATGATTAAATCGTTTAGTGCGTCATATCATCAGCTGCTAAATTCAAATCTGCGCTCGCTGGCTGGCGCTGAGTCAGAGACAGACGCGTTTTTACAGCAATGCATTATAACCAATCACACACAATGCTGTTGAGCTTATGAATGCAATGACCATTCAGAGGCGTTCAAATGAGTCATCGCTAAAATGCCGGTGTTTTCTTCACTCGCTCGCTGACTGAAAACCTCTTTCTGGCAAATTCTTTCCTTAGAAACAACAAACTGCAGATTCATTAATGCGTTTGGGAATGTTTTGAATAAAAAGGGGAACAAAAAAATGGGAAAAAAAACAAGTGCTATTGAGGCTGCTGTGTGTCACATGACGACCCCCCCACCCATGCCCCCTCAAAAATAATGAGTGCATGACGCCCCTGCATCAGTCAGTGATGTATGTCCCTTAAAATATCAGATACTTTTACCTAGTTCATAATAATAATAATAATAATAAACTAATACAAAAATGACATTGAAAAAAATCTGTAATTACAAAGTTTTGAAAATAATGATTAAGATGCATAAACTCTTTGTTTTCAAGGTATACACTATCATGCAAAAGTCGGTAAGATTTTTTTATGTTTTTAAAATAAGTCTGCTTTTGCCAACCTAAGGAGGCGAACTAGTGTAGTGATGGGTGTTCACGTCACTGATGACGTTATGCTTTTTTGGATCATGTGCCACTTAAGATTCCATTATGAGTACATCAGATAAGAAAGATTGATGGGATATCTAACTTGTAGAACCTCTTATTGTATTATCAACACAAGGAAGACACAAATGTAATATATATATATATATATATATATATATATATATATATACAGTATGTATTAACCAAAGATAGACAAGAGTAAGCACCAACTACTAAATTAATTCCATGAATGAAAAGTAAATAAATTGCATAAGATACACATAAAATGCAAGTGATTAAGTTGTTGCTATGTTGCTATATAAAAGTTATGCTATCTTATGGAAAGATACTGAGACTGAGGGTGCGTTCACACTTGTCATGTCTGGTTTGAATAAAATTAACCCTGGTGCGATTGCTCTGTTAGTGCGGTTCGTTTGAGTAAGTGTGAACGCTGCCATCCGAACCCTGGTGTGCACCAAACAAGCGGACCGAGACCGCTGAAAAATGGGTCTCGGTCTGCTTCCAAACGAACTCTGGTGCAGTTCGAATGATATATGAATGCAACATGGGTCAAATACTTCTAAACGAACCAAAAACAGGAAGTAATGACAAGATGCGATGCTATACGACATGATTTTACGACGAGGTGTAACCAAAACAAAATGAGCAGAGGGCAAACATGGAGCAGCGATGAGGTAAAGTGTCTTTTATGAGCTCCTTGTGAGTTTGTAGGTGGCGAAAATAAAATTATGTACACGCAATAATGAGCACGCTTAGTCCAGCAGACGGCATTAAGTGTGTTCAACTTAAAGGGACGCAGAGCGGACCCATCGGTTAATGGATGCTTTGATATATGATAAGTCTTTCAGCACCTTTTGTTTGGGGTGTTTGGTGAGTTCCGTCACGATATATATACGTCATTCACGCCGACCAATCAGGTTGTGAATGTATCACAATGCCTTTAGGTTCGGTGTCTTTAGGTTCGCTGTCAAAAATGCTAATGTGAACGCTAAGCAGACCAGGACCAAATGTATCATTTTCCTTTTTGGTCCAGACCAAATGAACCGAACTACAAGTGTGAACGCACCCTGAGACTAATAAGGTGAAGTGAAGAACCATGTATCAAACAAATAAATTAATATTTTGTTATCAACTAACATCAGCTATATAACATCTAATGTAAAACAAAAAATCATATACTGACAGTGCCAAGGTCTCTGGAAGAGGTTTGGAGAAGTGATATTTATGTTCCCTGTGATTCAATGAGCAGTCCGGTGGTGGTGACTTCTTCCACTGGTTGTGCTAGTAGTAACACAGTGGGGAAAGATGCAGAAATTCATTTCAACAGCCTTGAACACAAAACACTGTAGGATACTGATCTCCTGGAGCACCAAAGGGTCCTAAAATCTGGAACGGAGACATGGCCCTGGAGTAGGTGCAGAATGTCTTTAGCCTGTAATATGCAGACACAAGTACCTCGAAGTGAGGGTTTGCTCGCCGGAACTTAACCTTTTTACAAATGTCTGTATGCCTTCTGCCTCTCTGGGCTAGAGTCTCAGAACTTGGTCAATCTGCTTTTTCTCTCAAGGATGGAGACTGGACATGCTGCATCTGCGGTTGTCTCGCTGGATGAAGATTCTGAACACAAGGTATCTCTTTCCTCACAGGCCGGAGGCTCAGAAAGTGGTTGTATCTGTTGCTGCCTCAAGAGCTGGAGACTCAGGGTTAATTTAAAATAACCTATCTATATATCTGTCTATCTATCTGTCTGTCTGTCTGTCTATCTATCTTTAATGTAATGCATTCCTATGATGCAAAGTTGCATTTACAGTATCATTACCCCAGTCTTAAGTGTCTCATGATGATCCTTCAGAAATCATTATAATATGCCGATTTGCTGCTCAAGAAACATATCTAATTACTTTGAGTGTTGAAAACAGTTGTGCTGCTTAATATTTGTTTTTTGTTTTTCTTGTGGAAACATGATTTTCAAGATTGTTGGATGAACAATTTCAAAACAGCATTTAAATTGTTATGTGTTCATTTTTTTTTACTTTAAAATAATAATTTAATTAAAAATAATTGTATTTGTAACTATAATGTCATTTAAAATAATAATAATAATGTTAAATAATAAATTGCACTTTATTGTGAACATACATCTTTTTACATTTTTTAAAATATCTTCCTGTAATTAATTTCTGTAGTTACATCTATAATTACACTGTTGACCCACAATTAAACCTATCCTAAACCTATACCATCAAACATGTCCCTAAACTCACACATATCCTATCTCAATAGCAGCAAAAGTTATTTGCAATGCAACATGAACGCAAGTACATTGAAACAAAACAATCATTATTTTTGTTGTAAGGACATGGTAGTTAAATACACCTAATTTAAAGTGGGTCCCTTGTCTCATGGTTGTTATACTAGATAGTCAAAATATTTTTCATTTTCTTTATCAATAGCACTTTTTGTCACTGACCTACGACATACAGTAACACCATATTCATCAATGACGTTTCTCTTTCCTTCTCATGAAATCATAAATTCCTCCCTCCACCAGTGACAATAACAAACTGCATTACACATCAGACAGATGCAGAACACCAGTCGTACAGACACACAGCTTCCCCTGACAGGGTCCTTTTACAGGCAGATTTCAGGTAAAATTTCTAAAGAATTCTGCCGTGCAAATAAATTGCCCTTGATATGTACAATCACCTAGACTCAGAGCCAATAAAATAGGTCCTCTGTGATTATAATCTAGTATGTCATCCCAAATTATAGTCCAATAATATCAAATGCTTTTGAAATCCAATAAACTAGTTAAAGAAGTATTCTTTGTTGGATCCACTATGAGATTTGCTGCTGCCACTTTAATATTCCCAGGCTCGGACTGTGAGCTACAATCAGATTCCAGGGCTACACAGATTGTGTGGCTTAAACAAGAGCCGCAGACATCCCAGACATCATTATGAAATGTGAGACAGCTAGAGTTGAGAATACACCTACACAGTCAGACCAGCTAGTACATCCAGAGAAATAGTGTACTGCAATCTGGTATCAGCAGGCATCTCTTGCTGTTGTTTCATTCTAGAAACATATGGCTATGGACATGGAGCTTACCAGGAGTCACATGTAATTCGATTTCCATATAGTCTTTATTTCTTCACTACATTTTGCTTACCATTCATGCGATGTGCCACATCAACTAACGGGAGGCAAACACATTTTGATGATTTAATGGAACATAATTGTGGTTTCCGGGTTCACGGCTTTATCTTTGATCCAGGCATGCTCTGTTCTTTGTAGGATCTGTCTTGCTGTAATGTTAGATTGATTGGCACTCGTTTCAAAGAGATGGAGCTCTTTGTTAGGCAAGGTGATTCACTTTTCTTGTCCTACTTTTTGTACCTGTGGAATCCTGCCAGAGCTTGACACTCTTTCTGTCCTTTTCTGTCTGTTCTACTGAGATGCCACACAGAACTGGGCTTTGTAGATCAAGGGTTTCTCAAATCTATTAGGACCAGGGTGGAATGAATCACTTGTGGTAAACAGCAAAAGTGTCCTCGGGGCTTTAGCTAGGATTTTTGGTCCCCTGAATGTACATTGCTTTGGGCCCCTGATATTTTCCTTACAGTAAAGACTATGAGTGATATGGCTTAGTGTGATTATCATTAGGGATGTGCCTGGATAGTGAATCCGCATTCGGAAAGGCACGGGCAACGAATAATGCGTTCTACGGAGGCACTAAAGGGACATGGTTATCTGCTTGCTAGTGGTAGCCCGTTACAAGATCCTGAGCACCACTGACAAACATCTAATCTTGTAAAATGTGTGGTAAGTACTGCCACTCCATACTATACACAAGAGTATGTGGGATCGTGAATCTCAAAATTGAAAGTAAAAACGAGCGTGCATTTAAAAGCGATTCCAATGCCGGCATATTAATAGTGGCTGTCTGATGCCCGCAGTTTATATGCAGTATATTTTTTCCTCCCATCTCGTATTTATTCCCTTTAGGGGCTAAAACTAAAATAGTGATGAATAGCAAACATAACCAGGTCTTTTCCCTTCACTTCACAGGTTTTTATTTTCTTTTTTTTTTCCATTATAATTTTTAGAAGCCTCTACTGAAAAGCTTAAAATGTATCAATAAAGATTTTTGTGCCTACATGAACAGCAGCTGCGATTTTTAATATGTGGCTTCCCCAGACAGTGAATAATATATGACATACGAGGGAACACTTTGTTGTTGAGGATTGATAGGCATTGATATAGCCTTTAATTCAGTCTATTCATACAGTCTGCACTGCATCAAGCATACATACTGCAGTCTGACTGAATCAAATTACTATTTACTCTACCTGTAATAAAATGTATGTATGTATGTGTGTGTGTGTGTGTGTGTGTGTGTGTGTGTGTGTGTGTTTGGTTATATGTCTATATAATCTGGATGGGGAAAAAAGTGTTGCAATTTCTTTCTCACATATTTAATCTATGTAGTCTGTTTAAAATGCACTTATAATTTATAATGTGTAAAATTTGAGATTTTTTAAATGAGGCACCCCATTGTTCCTCAATAATATCACAGAAATGGAAGCATTCAGATGCTTACTGCAATCACTGAGGTGAACAGTTTTAGTAACTTGGTCATTAGAAGACTTTACACAAAATAACGACTTCTCATTCATAAGTAGCATCCTTAGGGAGCTCATTAACATGTTTTGATTCAAACCTCAAACTAAACTCTCATCAGCATTGTATGAAATCTAGCACTTGCTTTTCATAATTGTGAGTTTATTCTTTGCAAAGAGGCAAATTCTTCCTGCTGCTGTAACAGTGTGATTAATGGATTAGAACCTCCTAAAATGATGGAATTTCCACTGACCATGTTATTATGCATATGGAAAACACTAAGTCTGAATATGCATGTAATTGATGTATAAATATCTAACGTTAACCCCAAATAATCTTACCATTTGAGGAAAACATAAATATTTTTTCACCCTTTTTTTTTTTGATTGCTTGGGCTTTGGTAAAACAGTACATTTGAGCCAACTCAAACAGCAGCCAACTCACATAGCATGCCAAATGGGAGCAGCAGTTATTGATATGTGTGCGCACAAGTGCTGACATCTTGATACAGTTTAGCCTTCACAATAAGCTCCTTTCAACAAGCTTGTCAACTAATGTAGTGGAGGCCAGGGTTGGTTGGCACAATATTCATACTTTGTTGAATATCTGTAGTGGAACAAACATGAACAACACAACTAGATTCACACAGACAAATTTGGTGTCAATATATATATTTTCTGTTAATTTATGACTATCTTGTACAACAAGGGTAAGTTCAATTATTTTCAACTAGCTCTGTTGTTGCAATGTCAGTAGTATAAGTCAAGTGTTTCTACTGCATAGACAGGTAACTTTTATCAAAACCCCATTTTTTCAGCATATATATATATATATATATATATATATATCAGACTTACCTCCACTAAGCACACATTTGCCTCAAGTCAATTTTTTTTAATTGATATAATTTAGGATACAGTAGTATTTGCATGGTCATGTGATCTCAGCATCGACTGTTGTGACCCACTCAATGTGGAAAAAAAAGAAAAAGCTTTTATTAGAGTAGACTATTTTACTGCGTATTCTATATTATTTTAATTTCTCTGTTTAAATATTGCTTAATGAGGGGGGAGGGGGGGGACTTCAATATTATCTACATTTCAGTGTTCCATTCCTTGTTAATCACCTGTAAGAATAAATGTTTTCAATTTATTTTATTTCTTGTGTATTTTTAAAGAGGTCAGCGTTCGTGTGAAAGCACTCTCCACCAAGTGGTTTATATTGACACAGTCTTGGCAGGGACAATTTGAGAGCCATTAGAGAGCATTTATAATTCAGCTGATGTGGTGTTTGTTCAACTTTTATATTAAATAATCATTAAGATTAAAAATTTAATTATGGCCACATATTAATGCCACATCTTAATAAAACAAAAAGGCGCAAAGTAAGTAACTAAGTAAATGTGGGTTTCTGATTGTAGGTTTCTGATGAATATAGACAACAGTTTAATGGAGGAAGAAAAAAAAAAAAAACATGTTCCACTGATGAGAATGTAGTGTAACATTAATGGCACATGGTTCAACAGGTCACACATGGATTGCTAAGGTTATTTATGGTCCTCTCTAATAAAAGGAGTCTTGAATTGCCATGGTTCAGATAATATATGATAAATGTGATTTGCATTGGAATCACAGGAAGACCGGTTTACTGAATTACAATACAAATAAATCCAGCAAAAAAAATTAAGAAATAAACATCATTAATTAACAATGATTAATAATGCAGATTTATTGCCTGATCTGATTAGACACACTCCTTTAAATTAAGGTCAGTACTTTGAATGCTTTTCTAATTAACAGCCATCAAATAGCACACTTGAAAAACATATAAGTTATTTTAATATCATAAAAATACACATAAAAAAAATGCTCAAAATTTATTTTCTTCCTCTCAATCATTGTTATTCTTTGAAATAGTCTTGGATCCATGCAGCCATAATGCTGCAGCCCTCTTACTTTAAGGCATCAATTTGCCAACGACTTGGTAACCAATCAAAACATCAAGCCTCAGTTTTGTTCCCTATTTCAGTAAGAGCTTCCCGCTCTCCTGTGAGCTCCCAAGCCATTTCCCGGCGTGCGGCTGAGCTCAATGACTCCTTCACAGGGAGAAAACAGTCATGTGGGAGGTTGCCAAAGATGTAGCCAATTGAAATTCAACCCGGAGTACAAAGTTGTTAATTTTGTTATCGTAAATATAACACTGAAATCTCTCCACAGTTGAAAAAAACTGTACTGTCCACATCCGAGTGTTTCTTAAGTCTGTGCCCAGCTTTGCTTCTTATCCGAAAATTCAATTCCTTAAGCATTACTATGGCATTCGACTCTAAACTATAAACACTAGTGCAATATTCCAGGATGTTCTCTATGTATAGAAGGTCTGAATGTGAAGTGAGAAGTTGAAATTTAAAAGCAATGGTGGAGGGAATGCCAATGTGCAAGATGTACTTTCTGGGCACACAGCCATGCTGATGTCTATCTTCCTGGGTAAGGCAATGGTATGGAAATGGTGTTGGATGTACTGCAGAGCAGATCCCGGTTATCAATGAATGGCTTAGTCGAATAAAACAAATGACCGGGCAAGATAAGAGCGAAACCAGGAACTGGGCGGTTTGTGTGGTCAAAAGGCTTGTAGGGGGTTTGCGCTGCTGCTGATCCAGCATATGACCTCCACCTCTCCTTTTCTGTCTGTGTCACTAGTGGAAAGGGAGGTGCATCACATGCACCCCAACAAACAACCCTCAAAAAAGATGATACCATTAAAAAGCACATTTTTTAATTAAAACAATTAAAGTGAATGACATTTTAAGCTGAAAAAGGTGCCTATTATATTATATTATATTATTACTTCACTCAAAAAAGGAAATTATGTCATCACTTACTCACCCTCTACTTGTTCCGAACATGTTTGAGTTTATTTGTTCTGCTGAACACAATTATTTAATTTTTTTTTTTTTTGAAGAATATGGGCGAACAGACAGTGGATGGAAGCCATGGAATTCCACTTCATGTTTTCCATACTATTTAAGTCAATGGCTACCGTCAACTGTTTGGTTACCAACATTCTTAAAAATATTGGTTACACTTTATTTCGATACCACTTTAGACATTCTATTAACTATAAGTAACTTTGTAACTACATGTCAACTACATGTCAACTAATTCTCATTAATTTGCAACTACATGTCTATTAACTCTCAGACTGTTACTCAGTAGACTGTTAGGGTAGGTTTAGGGTTAGTAGAATAAGTTGACAAAGAAAGTGTTAGAAGATATTAAGTAGACAGTCTACTAATACTCTACTAACTGCTAGTTGACATGAAGTTGCAAAGTTACTTACTGTTAATATAATGTCTAAAGTGGACAATCGAAATAAAGTGTTACCAAAATATCTTTTGATGTGTGTGTGTGTGTTTGTTTGTTTGTTTGTTTGTGTGTGTGTTCTGCAGAGAAAAAACTCATTCAGGTTTGGGACAAGTGGCGGTTACGTAAATAAAATGTTGTATGCCTTTTTCTGATGAATAATGAAACGTTTCACAGAAGAAAAAAAAGGAAAAACTGCATTTGTACTCTCAGTTTCACTGAACAACAATAATGACCCATTATTATGAACAACAATAAAGTAGACATCAAGCGCAGCGTTAGTTCTGGCAGGTCACGTCAGTCAAGCTCGCATCAACTGACTCTCAGCTGATCCAAGTCTACCTATAGGGATACGATGCCTATCACAACATCCATATATAAGGTCCTTCAGTATTATCAGCAACTTTTCCATTGGCTCAATAGATAATTACCCTCCTCCATCCCCAGCTCCTCCTCTCGTCTAGTCAGGATTCGGCCTTCTGATAACCCTTTGAATCACACTAATGTCTAAAATGTGTATATTAATTATTGAACATGAATTATATCTACAATACATTTATGTTCGTTCTGTTTACCCTAGGGGGATTAGCAATATTAGGGTGCATGGATGTGGAGGGAGTTCTTCGGTTTTTTTCATCATCATCATCTGGAACACAACAGGAGATATAAAAAAGATGAGATAGAAGATGTTGATTGTAACTGTCCAGCACCAAATTATACATGAAAGTATCATAAAAGTATCATAAAAGGGACGCATGTGCTATGACTCGTGTATTGTATTTCAAATCATCTGCATCCATGCAACAGCTTCACGTGGGGAACAGAATGAAATGTTAAACCATTATTTCACTGAATATCTCCCTCAAACGTGGTGCATTAATGATACATGTATGTCTCTATTACATAAGTGCAGAACATTAACACACTCAAAATGATTTGAGGAAAATTATAAGCAGCATAAAGTGAATTTTAAGCAAATGTGTTAATGTTAAAATACTTTCTTCTCTTACCCGTTTCATGCAATCACCTGAACGTCAGTTTTATGAGCTCTCAGAATTTCAACTTGATTTTATTCATCAGTATTTCAATTAAGCATTCAAAAACAATGAACAAAATATGACTTGCGTGACCTTTAATTTGTTTTTATTTTATTTTACTATTTTATTTTTAAGTTGAATATATCAAGTTAATTTTTTTATTATTTCTTTCTTTCTTTTTAATGCATACTCTTACGAAAAATACGTTTATTCAAGTGTGCTATTAGTATACATTCAGTCTACTTTTTATATCTCAGAAATGTGCTGTATGTACTTATGTACTGAAAATGACATTCTTTTTAAGTGGGAGAACTTGCACAATTGGTGGCTGACTAAATACTTTTTTGCCCCACTGTAAGTATACTTGGATTTATACTTCTAAGTGTAAATATATTTGAGCTCCATGTTTTCTTTGTTATATGGTAGAGGGCGCTATTACACATCTTCTGTACAGAATTTCCAAAACACAAGCCAAGAAGGAACTGAAACAACAGATGCTTCCACATGTAATCTAACACGATCATCAGACATAAAACAGCATCAAAACTGTGTAAAGTTATGGAATGAATTGTCGACCTATGAAGAGGTAATGACTGTCAAGCTTTGGGGTGTTGATCGATTCCATCTACGTTTTGATTTTCACTCTGAATCCAAATCATAGTCTTTTGTTTAGCTTTTTTGTTCAAAATGTTGTTTATTTATTTCTTTATTTTAAATAGGGACATAGTAGTATACTTAAATTATGATGTAAAGTTCACTTGAGTTTTCACACAAGAAAACTTACGAGTATACTTGCAGTATAAAACTACTAAACTAGTAGTTTACTGAGACTATACTTCAAAGTGTATTAAAAATGCTACAAGTATTTAATTAGTAAACTATCAGTATACCTATAAGTTCACTTTTAGTATCGTTGCAGCACAAACTAAAACATATATGTAAACTAGTTATGTACTCAAAGTTTACAACTGTTATACTTAAAATTATACTTAAAAGTATACTTTTATATACTAGAAAGTGGGCCAATTTAGTCCCAAGGAGTATTGAAATAGTACACTTAGAAGAATACTACTAGTAAACTGATATGTATATTCTTACTACATAAAAGATTATTTAAAAATATACTTGAACTTTCCTTAAGTATACTTAATAAAATAAACTTGAAGTATACTTATTTTTGGTAAGGGTATACATTCTAGGCATGTGCCTAATCTACATCCAAAGAGGCTGAATTATCCATGCTATTTTTGCTCAGAGTAAGAACAATCCCATTCTGTTTCTTTATGGTCACTTCCTGGATCACAACTCCAGACACTTCGATGAAGCGCGAAAATGTGTCAATCCAAACTGATATGGACATAATTTATGAACTACAGATTAAAGAACTGACACTAGTTATTATACATACGCAGCTTGGGAATTAAGCATCACAAATTTAATCTTGCTCAGAGCAAAACCTGATTTTAATTTCAAATTATTCCTGGCAAGTGGTTGGGAGGGAAGCTTTAGGTTATTAACTTTGCAGTGGGAAATCTACATCGATTACTGATGCATGCAGATAAGTCTTCCTTGAGCAGTTATGACCAGCTTATTTCACCAAAACTGCTTTACTGCTCATTTGCTGTTGTTTTCGCTCATGGGAATCAAGGAAATCTTTGCAAAATAAGCTGCCATATTGATTTAAACACAGCAACTTGGCAGGAAAGTGCCTCCCCATGCCAGTCAACTTTATTAATGATTTAAAATCAAAAAGCTGCTTTGTGGCATTTTGCATGTTAACAGGGTGTCAATTCTGACTCCGCCTCGGCACACTTCACATCCGCCGCTAGTCAAATGTGGCGAGGAGAGAATTGTGCTAAAAAGACTCTTAGATCTGAGTGAATTGGACACTTGAATGCTTGATGAGGCCTCGGATACTGACAAGTGACAAAGCAAATCAGGGTACGAATGGAACGCTGCTGAATAAACCAATTAGCTGCCTGCCGCACGGGCCAACCGGAAGCGAGGCTCGCACCGGGACACAGTGGGTATTGCCGCCTGCCAAGAAGATCTCTCGGAGAGAGGGGCACAAGCTTGTGATGGGAATACTAATGGAAAATGATACAATGCAGGTAATGAAGCATTCTGCAGGAGAGCCCAGACTTCTCCTTCAGTGGCAGGTGTTCCAGAGAGCCAGTGAGAAAGAAAGAAAGAGAGAGTGACATTGAGTAAAAGCACGTAACACGCTTTACTGATTTTGCAAGACACCCTCCTCTCCGTTCAAATTAGGCCTGCTTCAGAATTCATTTTGACATTTGTGCAGTACAAGGTGACAACACAAAAACCATGGAAATTAGCTTCTAGCTCTCAGAGATGCCTTGCCCTTGCAACCCTTTGTAAATGTGGAACCTGTACGTCTGTCATTACTTCAATTGGCATCCGTCCCCTGTGTGAAATCTCAATCCACTGTTTCCTCCAAGACGACAAGAACACAATGCTCTCGTATTTTCTTCTCAGCGCACTGCATTATTAACCAAAGATTCATATGGAAATGTGGGAGCTTTCATCTGATTTCAAAGAGACGCAGTTTAGCGCTGAAGACAGCTTTGCTTAATGAGTATTTTACTGCATTTTTTTTCTCTCTGGCACATGGGACGGGGTATAAAACCCTGCCAGAAGAAGTCCTTATTAACTAATTGAGGGAATTACGTCATACAGTTCTTGTGCATTTTGATTAGGAATCATCTGTCACCACTGAAGTAAATAACATAAACACAAGTTTCCTTTAGTCATTGAAGTGACAAGATGTACTTGACTGATATGAGGTGTGATGCACTGACACACATTTTGTTCGGCGTGTTAATTATTCAGTATACTTACTCAAAGCACATTTGTACGGTGCCCGGGAGGTGACATGTTTGGTTCACTTAGTTTTGCCATGGCCACGACATAATAACTCGTGGGGATGTGATAATATGTCGTGGCCACAAGATATTAATTTGAGGGAACGTCATATTAACTCGTGGGAATGTGATATTATGTCATGGCCACGTCTTCTTATGTTGAGGGAACGACATATTTTTCTCGTGGCCACGAGTTGGCCAATTATCAATTATGGATGCATTAATATTTTATTTTGAATTAAGAAATGATTATATTATTTATTATAACTAATAATTAAATAATTAATTAATTAGTAATAATAATTTAATAATTAATAATAATTTATTTAATAATTTCTAATTAATAATTTATGCATTTAGCAGACACTTTTATCCAAAGCGACTTACAGTGCATTCAGGCTATAAATTTTTTACCAGTATGTGAAATATTAATTCAATTGTAGAAATCATTACATTATTAAATTATTATATTAATAGGCCTTGGCTACCAGACTGTATTACATGCGATAGTCAGCATTCAAATTAAGTTTACCATGAATAAATGTTACATAAAATCCAGAATATAAAATAGAAAAACATTTTATCCTACAAGAAAAACATTTTATCCACCATTACAGTCTTGTAAGTCCATTAACTGTCCATAATATTTGTATATTATTATTATTATTATTAGCCTATTACTATTATTATTGGTTATATTTGTATATTAGTTCATATAAATTTTTCCCCTTCATTTCGATCTCTTTACTTAACGTTCTGAATATTTTTGTAAATAATAGCCTACTGTAAATGCTCGACATGCCAATAAAACTTTGATTATGCTGACTGAAATTTTTACTGAAATGCAGTTTAAATTTAACATATATTAAATTTTATTTCGGCTATTTAATATACCATAATTACAAATACTATAGTGTTTCGTTGAGGAATTAATCATTCACGTAGTTTCATTTGTTAACGAAAACACAACACGCTCTTTTATCATCACACATGGGCATAAATACAATCATAATGTCAAAACTTTATTGGCATAATTGTCAGGTGTTTATTTGCAAAATATATGGTAGGCTAGCAAATGCTAGCATAATTATACAAAACGTTAACTACAGTAGGTAAAGTGATACACAAATTGAAAGGGGAAATAAGCATATATAAAATTATAAGAATATAACCCTAATAAGTTAATGTAGTAATAATAATATACAAATATTAATTAAATGTTTAATGTTAATAAAAATGTTTTATCCATTTTTGATAATCCCGGGGTTGCTATGGTCACGCAGGTTTGTTTACGCATTAAACTTGTGGCCACGATAAAAATATGTAATTCCCTCAACATAAGAAGTGGTGGCCACGAGAAATGGATGTTGTTCCCTCAACATAGCATCTCGTGGCCACAACATAATATCACATTCCCACGAGTTAATAAAACGTTCCCATTAATTAATATATTGTGGCCACAACATAATATCACATTCCCACAAGTTAATATGATGTTCCCTCAAATTAATATCTCGTGGCCACAACATATTACCACATTCCCACGAGTTATGTCGTGGCGACGATAAAACTAAGTGAACCGGCCATGTCACCTCCCGGGCACCGTACATTGTATACTGGTTCATACAGTATTTCATTATGAGATTTCACCGAGATGGACTTTTGTCAAGGTACATACCAGATATAATTAGACCTGGATGAAAATAAGACTGTGAGGCAAACTCTCTGTTACCTTGGTGTTGATCATTTACACAAAACTGAAAATATTTTTTTTCCCCAAAAAAATTATATGTGGTCAAGAAACTCTAGAAATAATGGGTTGTGAAAATTAGATGTGACATACGTCAACAGGAGGGAGAACAGGGGCAATTGTAACACATTTTACATCAACTTAGAGATTGCTATAAATATACCTGCCATTGTTGCTATATGGAACATTTATATGTGACAAATGTAACTGTCAAATATAATCAATAGCACACTTATAATGTGAAATACTAGATCATACTATAGATGTAATACAATAAATCTGAGTGTTAATTTAAAAGGTGAAGCTATTTAGTAATATTAATTTGCTTGTAATTATTTTAGTTGTCATAAATAATGTGGGTTTAAATCAATAGTCTAAGTGAGACATAATGATATGAAATAAGTTAAATAATTTTACGAAACCATACTGATCAGCTCATGGGTGTTATGTTTGGTGATACGAATGATGCGATATGATGCTGATCAAAGAAAAGTCATTTAATTAGGTAAATCCAAATAGTACAAACACTTTACCCAACCTAACATAAACGAGAATGGACACCGGCTAAGGGAGAACTGAGGGTTTAAGTAGGGGAGCAAACAAAGGAACTGATGAGTTAATTAATCAAA